GATGGCACCAAATGCGGTGCCAAGGAATCGATACTTTGCCCTCCGAGGACTGGTGTGATCTTTAAGCAGAGAAGTTGCATTGATTAAAGTCAATCTTACACGTTGTCCCATAGGTGACTTCCCCTCATGGGCAAGGAGGAGTCTGGGAGTGGGAGGCAGATGGCGATACGGCATGATCAACAGGGAACCTGCAATTACAAACTGCAGAAGAGAAAAGAAATAAAACCCATACCCATCTCGGGGCAGTTTTTAAAGGATAACAGACCAATCCTTCCTTGGAGGATTGGTGTTGTGGCAGGACAGCTGTTTGACTTGGCACTGATGAAACTAAAAGTATGGGTTAGGAAGGCAGCAAATCACTGCTCTTCCTAAAGCTGGAGGAGAGAAACAATGACCCTCAAGTTTTAAGTGAAATATAATTACTTCATCCCACTCATCAATCAAAGACCCACCCTTTAAAAACTGCCAGCTGTAAAGGTCGGGCTTAATTGATCAGGAGGGAGAAAATTTCATGCCGTTCCACCTTCCTTCCTAAGCCAAGTGAATTAGCAATTAAAAATTCCAGGTGATCCTTCATTAATTACCTTTCCATACATTTCCCATAACTGATGTCCCCAGAAATGGCTTAACTAAGCACCTGACCCTCCTAACTATTGCTAAATCCTCAGATGAAGCAGTCTTGTCTGCAGACAGGTAGCACAGGGATGGGGAAACAGTAAAAGGAATCTTTTTATAACATACAGAATGGAAATTTCAAAGGGACTTCCTACCTTCCACTGACTTTTGAAAACAGATATGAGTTTGGGTAGAAACAGTCACCCTTCCTACATTATTTCCCTCTCTTAGTGTTTGGATCCTATTATTCATTGTGACCTGGGGTTCTACGCAGACCAACCGCATTTCAAAGGTCTTGCCAATAGGATGATTTTACCATGAAAAATCAGCTCCCCCTCCCCCCACCCTTCCCACTCCTGGAATCCCCAATGAGCGAGGAATGACTATAGTTGCAGCGTGCAAGCGAAGGGAGCAAAAATGAAAATCCGGAGACGATGTTTCATTTGCAAGTTCGTGCATGAGCCCTTGAACCCTGTTTGCAGAAAATATGCCCCTCCCTATCTGACTTCTAGGTTTACCACCCAGGTCACCCAGTTCTAGAGCAGCTGGTAGAGATGGGGCATAAACCACTGTTGTCTGAGAGCAAAGTAAGACCTGAGCAAGTGGACTTTTCCCAAGACAAGGAGCTGAGTTAGGGCAAAGTCAACCCTGGCACTAAATACCTCACATTGCAAAAGAAAACCCTGATGCCAGGTTTGTGGTTCCCAGGACAGTGCTGTCCTTCCCTGCCCCAGCCACCACCCCACACAGTGGGCTTCTTCGGTTTTGCAGCCTCATCCCCTCTCCATCCAGCTCATATATTTTCTTTTGCATTAATCTCAGTTGTTCTCATGGCCTGTAAATGATGGTCAGATTGAGATCTACGACCCTAACCTGTCTCTCCATCTCAACACCAAACTGCTGAATGCATCCCGGGCATCTAAGGCAGGTGGCTTCTCATAAGTACAGGGTCCAAACCCCACAAAATCGGGATCCTCCAACCAGCACTCCCATACACACTCTGTGAACGTCCTGGCCCCGAGTTCTCTACCCCACTAACAGCAGCACTGTCTACCCAAGAAACATCTTAAGCCTCCCCCTTACTGGGGCATCTGTGTGGCTCAGTGGTTGAGCATCTGCCTTTGGCTCAGGGTGTGATCCTAGGGTCTCCAGATCAGGTCCCCACATCGGGCTCCCACATGGAGCCTGCTTCTCCCTCTGCCTATGTCTCTGCCTCTCTCTGTGTGTCTCTCATAAATAGATAAATAAAATCTTAAAAAAAAAAAAACTTCCTCTTACTGCAAATAATTCGGTCATTACCTAGGGCTCCCGTGACTCAAGCACTGGAGTCACTCCTGCCCTAGATGAAACCCCCATAATCCCCTTCCTGGAACAGGATACAGGAGTCTTTCTAGAACATACATCAGATCATGCATTCTAACAACTCAGTATTTAATAAGGACTCTTTGCCTCCTCAAAACAGATTAAAAGCAAAGAAGTAACTTATTTTAGTTTGGCTCAATACAATCTAAAGGATTTCTAACAGTTCCCACTGTGTGAGCACGTCATGAGCTACCTCCCGAGAGCGAGCCCCCCGTCTGTGGGGTGCTATGTGGTCAGCCTGCTCTGAGAGGCTTCCCCACTTTTGCACAGGAAGGAGGAGGAGGGTTTCAGACATCAGACAGCAGGAGGAAACTGGACAAAACTGGACGAAATGACCCTCAGGCCCTGCCCAAACTTGAGATTCTATGAGCTGACCTCTGTCGGGCCCGTAGACTCCTTCTGGAAGAATTGCGCTGCTAGCCAGGTGTGCACAGGATTACACGCTCAGAAGCCACGTTTCTAATATTTGACCTTGCTTCCTGACCTGTGATGATCGAATCACGATGGAGCCTGAGGAAGTGAATTGACAGACACCAAACCCTCTCATGGTAGCTCTTGGTGAGGCCCACGTCCTCACTGCCGGAGCCCACGGAGTCCCCTTCGTTCCTGTGCTTCCTGCAACCTGGTGGCTCATCCTGACCCCTGTCCTGGCCCTGTTGGTGGTGGCCTGCCAAGCCCAGTTTTAGCAAAGAATCCCACGGAGCCCAGATTTAGAGAGAGAATGCTGCTGAGCCGGTTTCACAAGACTCTCCCCTACCTTGACATCTAATCAAGTTCTTTTTTGGTAATGTTGTATGCACCCAGTCCCCCACCCTACTACAGATGCCCCCACCCCACCGCCAGCTACAGATGCTCTGGCTGCATTGGCTGCGCTGGCTGCATTCAGAGTTGAGCCCAGTTCTCCACTGGGATTTCCCTTCTCTACCGCAGTAGCTCACCTGTCTCGCCATTGCAGAGGAGATGACAGTGCCATTTCTCTTTAAGAGACGGGAATGACCCTTCGGGGAGACGCATGGAGCCTGGACAGCAGAGAGTCGGCCTTCCAGGAGAGCACGGTGCCTACTTAGGTCCTGACTCTGACAGAGACTCTCCTTGATCAAACCAGAGTCAGGCTTCTCTGAGAAGTCGATGTACCAAGACCTCACCCTTGAGCTCTGTCCTTGGCCTATTTAGTCCAGCTTTAGAAAGAATCCTGCTGGTTCCATTAGAAAAAATCCCCCACCCTTGATATGTGATCAAATCCCTCATCCCCCACCCATCAAGTCAATTTAGCCCCCTGACCTCTTAGAAAATTTCCATCCACTGACTCCCACCCTGCTCCTTGGCTGTGAATGCCTACGTTTCCTTATATTCACAGTTGAGCTTGGACTCTCTTTCCTCTTTGAAGACCCCAAAGGAGTGGTCTCCCTGAATAAAAGCTGCCTTACGCTCTTTAAGAAGCCTTACGAATGATTTCTTTCTTTAATAGCTGCTTGCTTTCTATAAGAATGCCCAAGGTTTAAGACTATCTCTAAAGTATCCTTCCATAATTAGAACTCGGAAAATACAGATTTAAAAAGAAAGGACGAGGGAGGGAGAGAGAGGGGGAGAGAGCCAGAGTAGCTGTATCTCCTCCTCGCCCAGGCTTGCTTGGGCACATTCCCTATAGCCTGGACCATTAACCTGTGGCCTCTGGGCCAGCATGTGCAAGGTTTCTAAGTCATTAAACGGCTAAGTACCTCATGAGCCAGCATCCACTGTAGGAGTGCCCGATTAGGCCCATTTTGAGCTAAGCTCGTCCTACAAAAAAAGCAGACTGATGGGTCTACATCTAGGTCACCCGGGCCAGACTGTTCTCCCCACTACCTCTGAGCACTCCGAGGAAAACACGGCATTCTCCTCAACGTCCCCAAGCCCCCTGTAGGGAGCAGGTGGCCAGACGTGCTCATGAGCCTGCCATTTATGCCACTAGAAGTGCCTGTCAGTGGATTCATGTTCTCACCACAAGCAATTTCTGGGCTCAGTTTTTAAAGGATCCAAACTAATTATCTGCCACCATTAAAGAGTAAGCTATAAACCATGCTTTGGGAATCCAGGAAGGATTAACTAGGAAAGCTTCACTCAAATAATATATTTGTCTTGAGTTGACTGTGTTGGTTATGGAGGAGAATTCAGGCCCCTGATACCTTTGATATGGGTCAGGGTTAAGGAGGAGAAAAGCTATAAATGTGTATGTGTATAATCACACGCATGCACGCACGTATATGCATAAAATATTTTTCATAGATACCAATTCACCTGTCACATTTACAAATTAAAATTAACATGAGGATTAAAAAGAAAATGTGCTACATGAACACACGCTTTTAGAAGTTATTATTCAGAAGTTATAGTCTCTGAATTGAAATGCTCTGTTAACCTTGTAGTCTTAGTGTAGCACCATCAGAAAATGTGACCTAAACCCACCTGACTTCTCTCACAGCCCAGGGACTGGGGTGGGGGGGGAGGGTGGGGACAAGCTTGTTTCCACACCACTTATATTAACAAACTTACAAACAAAACAAAACAAAACAAAATATTAACAAACTTAATAAAAGTTCTGAACTGTAACCACCTCACCTGGTGTTGTTCCAGTATAGGGGCCGTGAATTGAAGCTTCACCGCAAATGATTTATACATGCCTATACTTAAACTGCCCCTGCTCCGTTGCGAGAATATTCCATATTCGCCCCATTACTCATTCCTGGAGGAACCTGCACCACGCTGGCCTGAACCCCTGCAATCTGCAGTAATCTCGGGTCCTGAAAGCACTACCAATATTTCTTCTGCATTGTTTGCTTTTCTCGGAGACTGCCAACCTAAACGCCTGGGTGTTTAGAAATTCAAATCAGCTTCAAATCTTGTCAGAGCCACTGAGCTATCATCTTGGGGTTGCAAGGAGATGAGGCTCCAAAGAACATTTCATTATTAATAAAAATAAAGGAGAGAGATAGTAAATAAAGGCTTGAGCGGGAACGCCACCCGGTCAGAGCCCAGCTCTTTACCTGCGTGTGAAAGACCTTCATTTCTTTCCCAAGCGGAATGATCTTTGGGGGACGAGAAGAGCCGACTGTGGATCTGGAAGATAAACAGAAACCTTCCCAGTTTTATATTTTTATTTGCCAGATATATAATCTTCAATAATGCGCATTATTATTTCTAAAGAATCAAGAAACGTCCCTAGAATCTATCCAATCTCCCAAGAAAGAACTCTGGGTTTTAATGAAGACTTATTTCCATTTTCTCCTGCATTAACTCTGCAAATGAATAAAGGGTAGGTTTCTGATGATTTCAAAATGCACAAGGAGGAGGAGGAGAGGGGAAAAAAACCATAATCAGCTAACATAGATTTTGCTAGTAGAGCAAAAAGAACCACATCTAATATTTCTTTTCCATCCCATCATGATGTTGAATGGGTGTGGGGCTAAAATTGGACATGCAATAACTATCGATAAATTGATTAACCACAAGCAATCAAATTTCAGGAATCAGCCTTCAAGGCCCAATGAAAATAAGATTAATATATACAAAAGCGTTCTGCTGTCTGCAAGTAGGATTGTGACACTGACTTCCCCCGCCAAAAGGCAAAGGTTGGTTTTGTGAGTTTATTCCGCAAGTGGTTTGCTATAGGTGAGACTTTTGGTTTGGATTTATGAATTTATAATCAGGGTCCACACTGGGTCTGCCCTGTGCCCGCCATCCCTCCTCACGACTGTCCCCTAAAGCTGATGAGTAACTTTTCCGGCCTCCTGCTGTGAGCGCAGTGTGATTGGACGTGGCGATGCCAATTGTGCATCTCTGCTCACTTCTTGGTCCCACCCAGGCTGAGTCAGGCTTCACAGTGTTCAGTCCCCACCCTGGCCCTTCTCATCCCCAGCATCTGGACAACCAAACTGGGGACAGAGAAACGTGGGGGGAACCCAGAGCAGGGTGGGGCTAAGATCTGGGGAGTCACACACCACGTTTGGCCACTCCCTGGGCTTCTCTGCTCCAAGCCCTCCTCCGTTGCGGCCTATGCACGACATGACCTATTAATTCTCACAACGGACACATCACAGGGAATACCAGGTAACCCGTGGAACACTTTCAGGAAGGAAATACAGGTGCAGCAACATCGGATGTAGGACAGGAAATGATTTAAATCCCAAATTGAGGGACGCCTGGATGGCTCAGTGGTTAAGCATCTGCCTTCAGCCCAGAGCGTGATCCTGGATGGCTGGGATCGAGTCCCACGTCCGGCTCCCTGCAGGGAGCGTGCTTCTCCCTCTGCGTGTGTCTCTGCCTCGCTCTCTGTCTCTCTCATGAGTCATTCAAAATGGACTTAAAGCTCTATTCACAGAGATGTTTTTGTGGCGTGGTTCATCATGGCAAAACATCAGAGGTTTCTGAAATATCCACCACCGGGGAATAGCTCGGGAGGCCAGCGCCAAGTGTTGATGCATCCGTTAACATCGTAACAATGTTCTTGGTCTGAGCTGCAGTCTCCACAGCTACAGACCACGACCACGTGCCACGTGCCACGGGCAGGCTTCAATGCCATGCTAATGTGGATATTATTTCCTAGGTGATGGGGAAGTTTTGGGGATTTTTGAACAAGGAGATTTAGCGCGTAATGTTCACTTGTGTGTTATACCTCAGGCCTGCGTACACGTTGAATTAGAGCCGTGCCTGGAGTCCTGACCATGCGCCAAACTTCGTCACTTCGACATGCGACACTTTGCAACTGTGTTTTACCAAGCCTACCTTGCACTGTATATTCATTTTATAACTTTTTTTATTACAGTAAAATATATTTAATGTAAAATTTGCCATCGTGATCATTTTTTCAAGCATACAGTTCAGTGGCGTTCGACATGTCCACAGTGATGCACAAACCATCACCACTCTCCTCTGTAATTCTTTTCATCTTGTAGAACTGAAACCCTGTACCCATTAACAACTCTCTCCCCTTCCCCTTGTTCCTCGTTTTGGCTAGTGTGAATAGTTATTGCCACGAAATGCATGTACAAACATCTCTTTGAGCTCCTGCTTTCAGTTCTTTGGTGTATATGCCCAGACATGGAATTGCTGGACCATAGAGGAATTCTATTTTTTTTTAATATTTATCTATTTATTTGAGAGACAGAAAGAGAGAGAGCAGGGGGAGGGGCAGAGGGAGAGAGAGAGAGAGAATCCCAAGCAGACTCCACGCTGAGCACAGAGCCCAACACAAGGCTCCATGTCAGGACCCTGAACTCATGACCTACACCAAAATCAAGAGTCAGGCTCTCAACCAACTGAGCCACCATGGTGCCCCCCAATAATTCTATTTTTTAATTTTTTGAGGACCCTTCACACAGTTTTCCTAAGAGGCTTTACCATTTTTGCATTTCCACCAGCAGTGCACAAATGTTTCCCTTTTTCCACATCCCCACCAACATTTGTTATTTTATGTTTTTTTTTAAATAATAACTATCCTAATGGATATGAGATGTATCTCACTACAGTGTGATTTGCATTCCCCTACTTATTCATGATGTGAAGCATCTTTCCATAGGCTTATTATACATCTGCTTTGGAGAAATATTTCTTCAAGTCCTCTACCTTGTTTATTTGTTCTTAAGTTTTGTTTCTCTGTATATTCTGGTCATTAATTCCTTATCAGATAAACCAATTTGCAAGTATTTCCTTCCTTTCTGTACAATGGCCTTTCTCTCCATTGATATTGCCTTTTGATGCATTTTTTTAATTTTTATTTAAATTTAACTTAGTTAACATATATTGCATTATTAGTTTCAGAAGCAGAATTTAGTGATTCACCAGTATGCATAATTTTAAAAACTTTTCATTAGGTCAAATTTGTCTATTTTTTCTCTTGTTGCCTGTGCTTCTAGTGTCATATCCAAGGAGTCACTGCTAAATTAGCTGTCATGAAGCTTTTGCTCTAGGTCTTCTTCTTCTTCTTTGCTCTAGGTCTTTTCATAGTCTTTGGTCTTGGATCCGTGAGAATGTTAGACAAGGATCCAACTGAATTCCTTTGTATATGGATATCCAGTCTTCTCACCACCATTTGTTGACTAGACTGTCCTTCCCCTATTGAATGGCTTGTCAAAAGTCATTTGACCATTTATGAGCAGGCTTATTCTATTTTATGGGTCTATTTTTGGTCTTTACACCAGTACCACACTGTTTTGATTACCGTAGCTTTATAGTAAGCTTTAAAGTCAGGAAGAATGAACCTGCCAGCTTTGTTCTTTTCCTGGATTGTTTTGGCTATTTGGGACCCTTGAGATTTTTTTTTTGGATCCCTTGGGATTATATATGGATTTTATAATGGGTTTTCTTATTTCTGAAAAAAAGTCATTGAGATTTTCACAGGGATTGCACTGACCTTATAGATCATTTTGGGTAGTATCGATATCTTAACAATACTAAGTTACCTGATCCATGAACATGGGATGTGTTTCCAGTTGTTTATGCCTTCCTTAATTTATTTCAGCAACAGTTTGTAGCTTTTATTGTATTGTATATGTCTTTTACCCCCTTGGTTAATTCCTAAGTATTTCATTCTTTTTATTTCAACTGTAATTTGAACTGTTTTCATAATTTCCTTTTCAGATTGTTCACTATTAGTGTAGAGAAATGCAACCGGTTTTTGTGTTATTGCCTCTTCATCTTGTTGTTTTGCCAAATTCGTTTATTAGTTCTAACACTATTTCTGTGGGATCTTCTAGGGCTTTCTGCATATTAGATCATATCATCTACACATAGAGATGATTTTACTTCTTTCTTTATGGTCTGATGCCTTTTATTTCTTTTCTGTGCCTAGTTGGTCTGGCTGAGACTTCCACTATGGTGTTGAACAGAAATGGTGAAAGCAGTCATCCTTGTCTTGTTCCTGATCTTAGAGGAAAAGCTCTCAGTCTTTTACCAGCAAGTATGATGCTCACAGTGGGTTTTTCATTATGTAGCTTCTATGCTTTTGAGTTAGTTTCCTTCTGTTCCTTGTTTGCTGGGTGTGATATATTTTGTGACCTGTTTTCCATGTCCTCCCCCTAGAATGTGAGCTGCACACAGCAAATTCTTTATTCATTGCTTTGGTTGTAACATCTATAACCGCACTGAGTCTTTGAAAGCATGTACTGAATGACAGGAGTGGGTGAAAGGACTGTGATAGCACATGAGCACATGCATGTGATGATGTACCACGTGATATCAGTGGATGTCTACTATGATTTCCACTGAGGAAAAAAAAAAGTTTTATGGAAAGAAAGAATGGAAAAAGTATACAAAACTCAGTATATATGGCACTCTTTCTGCACACAGATCGTGTTCCTAATAAACAAAAGATATTGCTAAAGGTCTTATTAGTTAAGACCTGGGAGTGTCCCCACTAGGAGACACTTATCAGCACTGAGCTATTTCTTGTGTGATCATTAGGTAGCTCCTGTCTCACCCCTTTCAAGACTTTGTCTCCCTTAGGTCTCTGAAGCCATTAGTTCTTAATGAACGGCCATGTTATTTAATGAACGGCTACAGTAACTGACCTAAGCCACATGGTGGAGGTTAGATTTAGACCCCATTTTCTAGCTCTTTTCCCAGAAGCTCCTCAGCCTGCATCAAGCTTGGGATGACACAAGGAGATACCACTGAGGCCTCACTGCACGCACACAGTGACCTCACTGGATCCTACAACAACTCTGTGGGAGAAATAGCTTGATTATTTTACAGAGGTGGAAATTGAGGCACAGAGAGGCTAAGTAATTTTCTCAAAGTCACAGAAACCTAGTAAAGCAAGTGAAGAAGCCCATGTTGGAATCAAGGCAATCGGGATCAAGATCAGTCCTTGAGAACAGAACACTATGATTAGGATCAAGGACATGAAAAGAATCATGACACCTCAGAATACAGGGACTGTTCCAGTTTGCACAGTTCTTTTATACACATTACCTCCTTTTGACTCCCCAAAGTCCCTGAAAGGTGGCCAGAACACATACAGTTCTGATTGTATAAAGAAACAAAGGTCCTGAGAGTGGGAGAGACATCAGGGCCCATGGGCAAGAAAATGGGGCTTTTACACTTGCACCAGCCCTCCTGAC